AGTAAGTTGCCTGCTTGTTCTAAAACATTTTCCACATTCCAAACATTTATAAGGCTTCTCTCCTGTATGGAGCTTTTTGTGGCTTTTAAGTCCACTGCCACGAGTAAACATCTTTCCACACTCCATGCATTTAAATGGTTTCTCTCCTGTGTGGACTTTTTTATGATTTCTAAGGCCACTACTATGAGCAAAGGTCTTCCCACACTCCATGCATTTAAATGGTTTCTCCCCTGTGTGGATCATATTATGGGAAATAAGATGACCTCTTTGAGCAAAGGTCTTCCCACACTCCATGCATTGAAATGGTTTCTCCCCTGTGTGGATCCTTTTATGGATAGTAAGGTGCCCACTTGTCCTAAAACATTTTGCACATTCCAAACATTTATAAGGCTTCTCTTTTGTTTCAATCACTTTTTGAGATGTAAGGAAGTTATTCCCAAGAGAAAGAATGAATGTCCCATTGTAATTTTGTCCGTGGTGTCTTCTTATAGCATCTTCTTCTTGGTTTTGCATTAAATAGTGTTCATATACTTGTACTTCAGCTTTGATTAGCTTCACACTTTCCCCAGTATTTTTTTTCCTTATTTTGTCTTCTTGGGCAAGAAAGTCTTGCATTGGAGCAGCAGTGGAAAATGAGCTTTCCTGGTTGCAATTCTTTGACTGATTTCTCTCATGGCTTTCGAATTCCATTTGAATTTCAAACTTCTCTGTTGCATCTTTAGCACTGATCACTTGGAACAGTTCACAGGAATCTTGATTTTCCTGCCCATTATTACCTTCAGAGCAAAAGGGAAATTAAAATGATAACAAGGTTAGAGAAAAAGATCAAAGTGTAGAAAGTCAAGTGAATTTCCTTCTGAATTTCTCCAAAATTCCATTAGGTTGTATGTTTGCATACCTACAGTGGTATGAGAAAGACACGATGATTTCTATATTCATGAATCATGAAAACTTTGAAAATATCTAGAAAACATCTCTTTCTTTACAATTATCTATCTATCTATCTATCTATCTATCTATCTATCTATCTATCTAT